TTTGTTGTTTTGTGAGAGTTCTGGTGCCTTAGGGCCACCAGAAGTTGGAAACAACTTGAAACCGTACAACATCAACAACAATAAAAGCATGTGAGCACTCCCCTCCCTGTGATCCAGAAGAGCAAACACAATGGTGCAGGGTATTGTCACCATCTTTGTCGTTTTCAGTAATACGTGTATCTACATGGTAGAACGTTACATTCCCTTGGTGCTAAACAACATTTCGGCCTTAGTCTTCAGCTACAGGACTCTTGATTGTTTTCACAATAACCTGGATTATTGGATGCTGAAAAGTCTACAATTGAATCCCTGGGATCTCCAGGGAGAGCTGAGAGGGAACTCTGAGAAAGATTCCTGCCATAAACAATGGTCATTTTCTAAGAATTTTTTCAGGTCAACTGCTTGGACAATAAAAGTTACCGCTGCTGTGCTGGAGGCCAATGCATCCTGCTTCAGGAAGCACCTGAACATTACGGAGCACAGCATGGCCTTGCTATTTTTGTAGTATCTGCACTGACCATATGTCAGTGGTTCAACTGTTCACAATTTTCACTTGTCCACGAGGCCCTTTCACACCAGACAATAATAGCATTATGATTCCACTTTGACTGCCATGGCTGCATCCTAAGGAATACTGGGATTTGAAGTTTAGAAAGGGGCAATCCAAAGGATGGAATCACAGTGCTGTAATTGTGCACGAGTAGCATGTTGACTATATAGCAAAGTACAATGATATCCAAAATCCACAAAACAGTGATACCTTTTTAAGGACAACCCAAATGCACATGTTGCAATCTTTTGAAGCTCCAGTGGCCTCTTCATCAGGCAAAAGGTGATAAAAATCATACAGGAGAAATTTTAAAAAGGTGCCGATGTTAGTGTTTAGTGTGTATTGTGCGAAAGGGCTGCAGATGTTCTCCATCCCGCATCCCACCTGCAGGTTCACCCAGGGAAAGACAAGGCACATAAACCTTCACCTATCTATCGCCTCTTTGATCAAATCAAGTTTTTCCAGATGTTTTAGCGCAAAGATGGATGACTGGCCTGCTAATCACTTACAGGTCCATAAGAAAGCAACAAAAGATATCCCATTAAATCCTAAATACTGAGAAACAGGACTGAGAACTGGTGCACTCCTTGAAACTATGTCTCCCAGTTTAATCTTATGGACCTTTGTCACAATGGAGAAAGCAAGAATATATGGATCATTTCTGTATTAAAAACATGTAACAATACAATGTATTATGCAACCCATTGCCAAGTACCTTTTCAAAAGATCTTAATCTTATTCTGATTCAGTTTTGCAGAACCTGGATATGACATTTTATGATCAGACATTTGTCTTTAAATCTCACTTTCATAATCCCCTCCATTCAAAATAACCCACTGCCCCTCTGCTATCTGCAGGTTTCAGAATTAGATCTAGAGCTTGGCCTAATTCATTTAATCCTTCAAATCTTATTCTGAATCAGTTTTGCAGAACCTGGATGGATATGATATTTTATGATCAGACATTTATCTTAAAATCTCATTTTCATAATCCTCTCCATTCAAAATAACCACTGCCCCTCTCTTGACTGCAGGTTTTAGAATCAGATCTAGATCTTGGCCCAGTTTATTTAATGCTTCAGATCTTATTCTGAACCAGTTTTGCAGGACCTGGGTGGATATGACATTTTATGATCAGACATTTATCTTAACGTCTTATTTTCATAATCCTCTACATTCAAAATATGCCCCTCTCCTATGTGCAGGTTTCAGAATAACATCTCGATCTTGGGCCAACTTATTTAATGCCTCGGATTCTCTTAGATTCATCAGAAGGGCTTATTTCTCCTCTGAAATTGTCTTAACTCTTTCAGAACCAAACTTTCCAAGACCTTGTATAGGAAAAGCATGGAGACCCTTTTGGATTAGACACAGATTTAAAAGTAAATGAAGTGTGAGAATCATTTATCAGCAATTGATTGTACATAATAAATTGATTGTACATAATAAAATACAACAAAAATAATCCAGTCTGTAATGTCCCATATCTTGGTGTGGACAGAAATAAATGCTTTGCTCCAGTATTACTTCAAGTTCAGAAAGATTCACTACTGAATCATATTCTATAATTAACATATGCAAATCAAGCCAGCATTTATTTAACATAATACCACACTTCTGACCAAATTCATCATCCTCTCCTTCTTCTTCAAAAACATTTGGTCCTTAATCTATACATAAAAGCCTCTAGGAATCCATTTCACTTTGTAATATTCTGGAGACGTGCAATTTCATCTTCACTGTTTTTTAATTTGAAAAGAAGCAATTTTACTCCGTCTGACTTTCTGGTATCTATATTTTCAAATACAAATGGGGTGCCCTAAAATGATGTAGGTATATGCTCCTAGAAAAAAATGAAGATGCTGTTCCATTCCATATTAGATTGTACAGGCAACAATGGAAGGGATTTTTTAAAAAGGTTTAAAAAGACAACAACAACAATAATAAAGATTAAAAAGACAAAATAATGGGATGTTTTCATGGAAATTAAAGTAGAATCACTGCACTATAATTGAGTATAGAGTAAAAGGACCCCTGATTTATTTTCTGATCAGTGGGGGCTGGCTAGAGGTCCAGCATTTTTCACATGCTCACCTGCACTCATGTATGTGACCCATTATGGGACATTGTTTTGTGTAACTCACCCAATTCATTGTCCATAACCTAATAACACAAATATGATAGTCAGGGTGTCCTAATGAACAGACAGGCTTAGCTTTCAAAGCAGGCAATATGTCCCTTCTACATATATATATATACACACAGAAGCCAGCTAGACTGGTAAATTGAATCTTATTGCACAGACAAATAATAAATCAGATCAAATGTAAAATGTATGTCACATTAAGAACAAGATACTTAGCACTTCAGCTTGTTTGTGTACTTACATATTCCCTACAATCATCTCACAAGAGCCCTCTCAAGGAGGACAATATTATTTTAGACTACTACTACCGTTAATAATAATAATAATAATCGTCGTCATCATTATCATCATCACTGCTACTACTATTACTACTTTATAGCTGCAGCAACAACATTTTAAAGCCCTAAAGATACCAGATCTCATCTAATCTTGGAAGCTAAGCAGGGTCTGCCAAGTGATTAGTACAGTCAGCTCTCCATATCCATGGATATTTTATCCATCCATGGCTTGAAAATATTTTTAAAAATATAAAATCCAAAAGGCAAACCTTGATTTTGCTATTTCATTTAAGGGACACTATTTTACTATGCCATTGTATTTAATGGGACTTGAGCATCCACAGATTTTGGACTCTATGGGGGGGGAGTCCTGGAACCAAACCCCAACAGATACCAAGGGCCCACTGTATTTGGATGAAAGATTTCCAATGAATACCAGGTCCTCTAGGCTATATTTCAGGGGAAGGAATGGGAAAAATCACCTCTTAGGATTTCATGTCTAAGAAAACCCTATGAAATTCATGGGGGTCACCATAAGTCAACAGATGACCAGAATGACTTGAAGGCACACACAGAGAGGGAGTAAAAATAAGCAACTTTTTAAAAAGTTATTCATGTCTTAGGTTTGAACTGGGGGCGTTGCAACTCACATGCCCCCAAAAGTTTTCGTATTATCTTTACACATCAATGCTCCTGCCATAAAACCTTCAATGTTTTGCAAAGGATTCTGCAAAACAGGGGCCACATTCTGTCCACAATGGCCAGGGCTCCATAATAATAATAATAATAATAATAATAATAATAATAATAAAATTTATTTATATACCGCCCAATGACCCTCTCCGTTGCCCCGAGTGAACAGAGAATAAAATTCCAAGGTTTCCCTGTGCATCAATATTAGCACCGACACAAAATTGCACATAGAGACAGCCTTGCCTGCCTGCCAAGAAGTGTTTAAGGAACTGCCAAGTTCCTCTGCTATACTGACAAGGCTACCCAGAGCTGAATGAAAAACAGCCATGAGTTAACCGTTACAAATCTGAATGTACGATAACAACAACTAGGACTTTCTTGCCACTTCCCTGTATGGGCTGACGTGGCATGCATGCGATGATGTTTTCCCTTATATAGCTTGGTTCTCTGTTCCCCGCCACTTCTGAGTCCTTCCTCGCCCCCACAGGGCCCAGCGCATTGAACCACAGCCGTTCCTGATATGATATGTGGTGCAGCAAACTTCCATGCACTGCTACCACCAGCAAGTGCTTCTGCCAGCCATGCACCTCTGCATATCATCTCTCAGCACATGCTGAAGAGAGAAGCTTCTCAGAAGGAAGAAATAAACCTTCAGCCAGAGGACTCTCCAAGCTTCTTTTACCAGTGATGACAGAAATCAATGTTTTGCAGGGGACCATTCTGCAAGCCTCCTTTCCTCAATCTGAACCATATCAGACCAGGAGAGACCTTTAAAAACAAAACTAAAAAAGCCGTGGAAGGATAAAATATCCATAGATATGGAGGGCTGACTGTACTAATCACCTGGCAGACCCTGCTTAGCTTCCATAGATGGGATTTGGTATCTTTAGGGCTTTAAAATGTTGCTGCTGCTGCTATAAAGTAGTAATAGTAGTAGCAGTGATGATGATAACGACGACAGCGATTATTATTATTATTATTATTATTATTATTATTATTATTATTATTAATGGTAGTAGTAGTCTAAAATAATATTGGCTTCCTTGAGAGGGCTCTTGTGAGATTATTGTAGGGAATATGTAAGTACACAAACATGCTGAAGTGCTAAGTATCTTGTTCTTAATGTGACAGGAGGAAATGGCCCTTCTGGTTGTAAGAAAGAACTCTTGTTGCTGCTGCTGTTGTGTGCCTTCAAGTCATTTCTGACTTATGACAACCCTAAAGCAAACCTATCACAGAGTTTTCTTGGCACGATTTGTTCAGAGGAGGTTGGCCATTGCTTTCCCCTGAGGCTGAGAGCATGTGACTTGCCCAAAGTCACCCAGTGGGCTTCACGCCTGAGCTGGGAATCGAACCCTAATCTCCAGAGTTGGAGTCCAGCACTCAAACCTCTACACCACACTGGCTCTCTAACACTTTGGATGGGTAGAAATGTGCCAAAAAGGCCCGCACACCCCCTTGAGGGTTTTTGCATGCAAACTTTGGAGTTTATTTTTTTAATAGGGTGGCAGAGTGGAGGTTGCAGCCCTACAAAGTCTCTTGGGGTGAGGGAACTGCTGACAGATACCTACCCCTGTGCCAAAGCTACCACTGCATCCATGTTAATGACTGTGAGTACAACCTCAAACTCAGTGTAAGGCTCTTGGATAACCTTAACCATGCTTGCACAAACAACAGCCAGCAATGGATGGAAATACCATCAGCTCAATGGCTCTTTACCTTGGGGTGTGGGCTCAGGCTCCAACGGGTCCACCAGCTCCTTCCCCAGCGAATGAATTGGGGTCTCTGTCTCGGGAGTCTCAAAATTGCCTTCTGAATCCGAACTGCCAAGGAGGGGAGAGAAGGATGGATTAACCATTTCTAGATCAAACATATTCTTGAGCACACATTGATTTCTCCAACCGTCTGCATCATCAAAATTTGTCATTATGAACTACCTCAACAGATCAGGCCCAAAGAGTCCATATGAACCTTATTATTATTATTATTATTATTATTATTATGGCCAAATGAAATCAAAAACACCTCTTTTTTTGTTCAACTGGAAGTTCAACATGCAAACGGCATCCTGTTTCATGGACACGGTTAATTTGTCCAAAACCCTGCACACAAAAAAACCACACTGAATCATGTCTGGCTTGTCCCTAAGTCCAGCTTTTTATTATCAGACAGATCACAGGGTATGGAGGAAGGTGGGTGCCATCTGCTATTGTTCCCCAAATATCCCAAAATCTGCTGCGCTACACAGGCAGATTCCAGTGTGGCACTATGGATCCTGATCTACAGACCAGAGGTAGTCTGTGGCAACCTTTTTGCCAGAAGAACTGAATGCAATGATAAAACATCAGGTTGGCAGTGGGTACATGCCAGCAGTGGGTATAGCCAGGGCATTTCAACTCCCTTCCTCCATGCATGCATGCACATTACGCTACAGTTCCACTGAATAACAATAACAATAATAATAATAATAATAATAATAACAACAACAACAACAACAACAACAACAACAACACAGTCCCAATGAGTACTGCTTTAGTGAAAACTGGAGAAGGTTCCTGTTCATTTAACGGTTGTGTGTGCTGGGTGCTATGTGCCTTCAAGTCGCTTCCAACCTGGCAACCTTAAAGTGAACCTATCATGAGGTTTTCTTGGCTAGATTTGTTCACAGGAGGTTTGCCATTGCCTGCCTTTGAGGCTGAGAGAGTTTGACTTGCCCAAGGTCACCCAGTGGGTTTCATGGCCAAGCGGGGAATCGAACGCTGGTTGCCAGAGGCATATAGAAGAGGGAATTTCAGCAAGTGTTGCTTCTTACCTGTTGCAGGACAAGCAATACCTACTGAAATCCTCTCTTCCACACAACCATGGAAGGTACAGGAGCCCTCTCCAGCTTTCACTCTGGCAACCCTAATCCCAATGGCCCTGTCTCCCTGCCACCCATTCAATTGCCAATGGAAATCGATGGGCAGAGCACCAAATACTCTGCTCCTTCGCTGTTGCCTGTGGTTATCAGTTGAGAGGAAGGAGGTCAACCCAATCACCTGGAGAACATGGACAGGTCCTGCACGGTTCACATATGTCCTCCATGGGACATACATGGCCAGGACGCAGTACGGATATGTCCACCACGACTCACTCAGCCTGCGTACCGCGTCAAGTAAAGAGCACTTCTGAGAACATGCAAAATGCCATTTCTTTAGTGGCCATGCGAAGTCACAATTAAAACCAGGGAAGTGCTTTTAGGGTGAGAAACATGCCATAGCAAAGGCTGTCACCGGCATCTGTTACATTGGAGTTTGCCAAAACAGGAAGGGGGACGGCGACGCACATTTCCAAACACCTTTTTTTTTAAAAAAAAATCTTTATTAAACAACCAAAAATAAACATACAAGTATGCACTGATTTTCTTTGTCTGACAACCTTTAAGGATATTGCCTAACTATCAACTGAACACCATCTGCAACAATTCTAACATTAAGTAACAAAAAAGAGAGACAGACAAAAATGAAAACAAACACACAAGAGTAACACAAAACAGAAAAACAAGAGAATGTGGCTTCCCAGCATATCACATTCTTCCAGCCTATCTAACTATGGTTCATTCAAATTATTAATCTAACTCCCTCTAATTTATTAAAAACTCTATATAGTACAAATTTCCAAATACCTTGGTTGCCCCACTAGCACTGACCTGGTTGCACATAGAGAGTGTAACCATTTTTTAAAATATAGCTGCCTTTTGGATAGGTTTGATTTTGTTGTCACTCTCCGCATATCGTCCACCTTCTCTCTAGTCAGTCTAAATTACTGTGATCTATACTGCACTCAGACATGTAAAGCCACTGGGTGACCTTGGGAAAAAGTCACACTCTCTCAGCCTCAGGGGAAGGTAATGGCAAAGCTCTGCTGACCAAATCTTGCCAAGAAAACCCCATAATAGGGTTGCCTTAGGGTTGCCATAAATCAGAAATGACTTGAAGGCACACAACAACAACATACTACGCTCGACGTAGATCAGGGATGGATGGTGATCTGTAGGTCTCCAGATGTTGTTGGACTGCAACTCCCAGCTGTCTTAGCTGATGTTGCAATGTAAAGAGACAATAAGATGTAGTCTAACAATACTAGGAGGGCCACAAGCTGCCTACCCTCGGCACAGTTAGAATTAATAGCCTATTTTCTCTTCTTCTCAACAGCATCTGACCCACCCTTTAAAAGCTGCAAACAAAACAAGGCTGCCTTCCCATCTCTTAGCTACAGGCCTGCTTTCTGCATTCCAGGCAGCTCTGAATGGGATAAGTGCAGTAAAAGGATGCATTAGTTCACAACCCCACAAGCCGCTTGTGACAACTCAACCCCAGTAAAAAGCATTAAAGGTAGCAAAAAAGGTTGCTTTCTCCCTCATACAGAGTCTTTTCGCTGCTGTGTTTATGCTCAGGTCCATATGTCTCCTTTAATGGTATATTCTCCTGTTGCATAACATTAGCTGGCCAAAAGTATCTTGCTGCAGATTTCCAATGTTTGCAAAGCTACCCTGTTTTCCTAGCCAGTCCCAAGAGATTAGAGCAGGTAGTGGGCATAGCACAACCCATGGGTTGTGTATGGGACCCTTGGCCATGTTTGCACCCTTTGAGGTCCCCATCAACATTGTTGCTATCCTGTTACCACTAAAGAAAGGCCCAAGCTATACTTTCAACATAGCTATTTCCGAATTAAAAGAAGGCGCTCTGCAAGCATGCATCTTGTTTGCAAGTCAGATGACACCCCTGGAAGCCACTTACCAATGGTGAGTGGCTCCAAAACAAGGGGCATGCTCCCCAAATATCTTGTTTCAAAGCAGAAATGACTATCTTGAAAAGGTAAAAAAATGGATCTCCCCCTGTTTCTCGGTCCTTTCTTCACCTCCCAATGCCAATGCTGCTGAAAGACTTCCAGCTAGATAGAGGACAAGAAAGAAAAGTTGGAGGCTGGGGGGGGTGATAAAAAGAATTTGCAAAAAGGCTTCTTTGTCAGAGGCTTTGCTCTCATCTGCACTGCAGCAATGATGCAGTTTGACACCGCTTTAACTGCGATGGCTCAATGCTATAGAATCCTGGGGTTTGTAGTTTGGTGAGATATTTAGCCTTCTCTGTCAGAAAGCTCTAGTTACCAGAACAAACTACAAATTCCATGGCATTGAGCCAAAGCAGTTAAAGCAATGTCAAAGTGCATTATTTCTGCAGTGCAGATCAGACATTTGTTAACTGAGGTATGCCTGTGTAGCATGAGAGCGCAGGCTTGGTGGGTTGGTGAGTGGGCAATGCGACTCTTCTGATCCCTGGAAATGGTCTGTCCTTGAATTAGGGTGACAACGAAAGACAAGAGAGAGATGCTGGTCTTCAAGATGCTAAGAATCTTACAACTGTGAGCTATCAAAGAGAACACAGCATAGCTGGAGGCAATGCCACAGGTGAGAAAGAAGCCACTGTTCTGACCAGATCCAGGTGAGAACTGTAGCTCCTTCCGGATTTAAATCCCCCTGGATTTCATTAGAACAGCTTCACATGTTACACAGCAGCCTGGATACATCAGTGTCTCCCTACAATAAATACGCAGAACTCATCAATCTCATTTCACTGGAAGGCCAAGCAGGCCAAAGGTAGGGAGAAAGTATCTCCCCTCCTAAATAAAGCGATAGCAAGTTTCATCCGACATCCACCACTCCTCTCTTATCTCTGGGCTGAAAAGTGAAGTGCCCAAAAAATACTCAGTCTCCCAGAGGGCCAGGCTTGGGGCTGCCATTACCTGATCCTAATCATAAAGTGAGATAGCAAGATAAATGTCTTCAAAAGTCAAGGGGCAGGGAGATGCAATTGACCTGCAAAACCTGTTGTTGGGTGCCTTCAACTTCTTTCTCAATTGTGGCGACCCTGCCCTGGGGTTTTCTTGGCAAGATTTGTTCAGAGGAGGTTTGCCATTGCTTTCCCCTGAGGCTGAGAGCTTGCGACTTGCCCAAGGTCACCCACCCAGTGGATCTCAACCCTTGTCTCCAGAGTCGTAGTCCCATGCTCAAACCACTATACCACGCTGCCTCTCCCTTCAAAATCTAGGGAGGCCCAAAACACAACTCGCATACACAACTTGGTATCTGCTGGGGTTTGGTTCCAGGATACCAAAATCCATGGATGCTCAAGTTCCATTAAATATGGTGGCAGAGTAAAATGGTGTGTGTCCCTTTTGTAAAAATGGCAAAATCAAGGTGTGCTTATATTTTTTTGGAATATTTCCAATCCGTGGGTGCTGGAACCCACAGATTAGAAATCCATGGGTATAGAGGGCCAAGTGTATTTAGGGTGACAAGCTGTTGGAACATGAATGTGCAAAGAGCTCACCAAGGAAGGAAGAGTCCCATTTTGTAAAAAGTGCCCTT